ATTATCAAATCCTATAAGATTTCCAAATCCATTCAAATACAAGAACCAATATATTTTCACATTTATTTTAAAAATCTTGTTTTGTTTTTGGAGTGTCTAAATAGATTGATTCTTTTCGTGTATTACATTATGGAATTTATAATCCTAACATTTTTAGTTTTATAATATCCATTTATCATCCACAACATACGCATCTGAACTGCTCCATATAGATAAAAAAAATATGTTTATTATCGCCACATGCGATGCGACCTAGCTACATTTTAATTTATCTACAAAAGTGTTTTTTTTTTTAAGTTCTCTACAAAAGTTGCATAAAAACATGGATTATGGATGTTGTAAAAATGAAATTTGGTCAAATAAATCTGAATTTCTTGACACCCGGTTTTCAACTAAGATTGACCCAAAAAAAAAAAAATTGTAAGTGTTGGGAATGCTTGGAGTAAAAATCGTCGGTAATATGCTAAATAAATTCTTAAAGAGGTTAGTATATTTTCAATGCTAATTAGAAATTGGGTGATGAGAAATTGGAAAACAACTTGATAATTGTATCACCATTAATTTTCCCTGATATAAAAACATTGGAAACACAAAAGAAGAAAAACTCTTCAACCGCAAACAATTTTTACATCGGCGAAAAAAAGTGAGAAGTGAAAAACAAAAACAGAGAAGCAAATGAGCAATAGATCAAGGCTCTAACAAGAGCAGAAGCCCAAAAACAAAAAAAAAGATATCAAAAGAAGAAATAGAAACCTCTTGAATAATTGTTGTAGAAGTGCTTCTAAAGTTCTAATGGTGATAAAAAGAACTTCTCTTGTGATCTTTCTTGGACCTCACGAATCCTAGCCCTAATCTCCCTCTCCACCAACCACTCGACCCTTTTGATTTGCTTCTCAACGAATCATCATCTTCTTCACTAAGTTCTTCCCTTAGAGTTGACATTCTCTTCGAAGTGTTAACTTCTTCCTTGAGAGGCAAGATCATACCATCAAAGAAAATTTCATCAGCAGTGATCATTGAGAAGTTCTTAACTCCAAATTCGAAATCATCTGACGAAACTGGTGCCTCCTTGTAGTTGATCATCTCTTGCTTAGTCGCTGCGAAACCGCTAGAGAATGAGATCCTTGGCTCTGCGTATGAACCCAACTGATGATGTTGCTTCATGTTCGAACACTCCATTTTTTATCTTTCTCTGATCTCTCTATCTTTCTTTTTTTATTCTACTGTATTTGTTGCAGTCTCTAGCTAGTGGTAAAATGTATGTATTTATATGATACTTGTTAGATTCATATCTTCTTATTTTAA